CGTGGATGCATTCCCATCTACCTGAAGGCAGTACTCGAGTGCCTGACTGTAGAGATCTTGGAGGTAGCAGGAAACGCAGCTTGTGACAGCGGGAGGACCAAGATCATCCCCCGGCACCTGCAGTTAAGTCTGCGGCAACAAGGGTCTTAGTAGGCTGCTGGGAGAAATGGCCATCGCTTGGGGAGAAGTTCTGCCCGGCATTCAGGCAGTCCTGCTGACTGAGGGGTCTGCTGGGTCTGGGTGGACGGATCGACATCTGTAGTCAGTTTCTTCGGATCCGCTGTGGGACGGACTACTACAAGAGATCCTTCCTGCCCAAAGACATCAGCATCTAGAACAACTTTACTGGAACCAAGATGAGCTACTACAACAATTAATTTCCCTTTGGGATTATTAAAGTATAATTGAATTTTGAATTAGTTACTTCTTGTGGTAGTTATAACAAAAACAGTTTATTACAATAACTGTGCCGTGACGACAGACGCCATTGGAGAACACAATATCTCCTGTATCTTACTCTGTGGTTTCCTTTAATACAGACTCTTGTCATGTGAGGTCACTGCAGCGCCCTCTACTGACAAGAAGTAAGAACTTCAACAGAACAAAAATAAATTTAGTGTAATGTTTACACTGAATTTATTTTTGTTTGGTGTCTGTATATACTGTGTATATATGTATGTATATATATATATATATATATATATATATATATATATATATATATATATATATATATATATATATATATATATATATATATATATATACACACACACACACAGTAAACCCAAGAACACAACAATACCTTTAGTTTTTAGCTGTTAACTCCTTTAAGCCCACCTTTGTAACTATTAGCTTCTAGCTTGTCTTTTGGTAATATTACCTTGCTTTTTGCACTTTTAGTTATTAGCTACCTTTTTGCCACTTTTTTAGCAGGGGCACGACTATTTCCCTTCAATGTTTAGTATTAATAGAACCTCCATAAACATAAAACAAACTTTTTGTTTCGGAGCAATTAGGAGTTAAAATTAAAAACTATCCCTTAAAACCTAGCTAACATTAAAGCCCTCAGTGTCAGGATACAGGGTCTCAGAAGTTTAAATGCAGAATATATTTTATATTGATTTAGGCGAGGACGAACTGCAGTAAGTTATCATTTTAAATTAATAGCAATTGTAAATAAAAATACAAACGTAGACCTGTGTGTATCCATAACTCCTGCATGGCTGTATTTGTCAAATAACTAACAACATATAATGTCATAATAATAAATGACAACAGAAAACTCCTGAAAATCTCTTCTGGATTTTGGTTTTGGTGCCACCCCAGGATATTCAGTGGACCCCCACATACCTGGAGGCGCCCCTGGATTTAGCCTGTTTAACCTTTTATATATTACACACCAGTGTAGTCAAGACTACCTAACCCGAGACCAAGTCAAGACCAAGACCAGAGTGTACCGAGACAAGACCAAGACCGGTCTGGAGTACTACAACACTATTACATAACATTTTTGCTACTTTAGCTTTTAGCCAGCATTCAGCTTGTTTAGGCTTTTAGTTTGAACAGCTCCGTTTCGGCAGTCTGAAGATTAAACTTTGCTTCTTTATTAGTTTAGAATAAATGGGAGTTCCTCTTGTTGTGATTTATTGGAAACGGCTCATTTTCGTGAAGCTGAGGACAAATTAGTCAGTGTTTCGACTAAGGTGTGTTGTCGGGAGGGGGAGGGTTGCTTTGGGGAGGTGGGTAACTGCCTGATGCTTGCCAGCGCCTCCAGCTCTGTGGTTTGTGGTCGACAAGTGCAAATCGATCACGTATTAACAGTTGCGTGTGAGGCAAACAAAAGTCTCAAGAAAATTGTACAGATCATAAAACAGAAGCAAGAAAACAACTGAAAACAAAATTATTTAGAGTTTCCTCCAATTAATTTGTTGACGAAAAGTTTTTAACACAAGTAACCTTTGACATGTGATCACTAATTATCTTTAATTTAGGTCTACTGATTAATCAGACAAAGTTGCCACCTTAATGTTCACAGCTCGCAGAAAATTCTCAGTTTAAATCAGTGCTTCTTACATTAAATGAGCCAATTACAAGAAAACGGTCCAGGAAAACAGAGCAGAGGCATTTCAGTAGGAGTACGGATATTGTTGAGTAAAACCAAAAGGTGACCGAGGTCTGGAAAAAAGCAGTAGGCTTCCACCGCACAGTAAAAACTAAAAACTTGTTGCCGCCGCACCGTTTACTTTCTGTTTGCTCCCCATCGAAACACCTCTGGGGTTTCACTGTGTGGGTGTCACTCGCCCAACCTGCTGTGGCTTTCTTTTTTTAAATATCCTTTACGTCTTGTAAACATCTGACGGCTCATTGGACGACAAGCGTCTCACTATGAATGGATAAAAGTAGAAATACATGTTTTGTTCTGTTGCTTTCAGTTCAATTAACACATCAAATTAGACTTAATGCTTTATTAAATTAAAAATAAATAAATGAATAAAAACACCTGAGAAATGAGCTGGTCTGTGCTTATACTGCCCCCTGCTGCTCAGGCTGATGTATTGCACCAAACCAAATAGTCTAACCCATGAGTGTCAAACTCACTTACAAAAATGGGCCAAAATTAAAAACTTTTTGAAACTAAGGGCCAGATTCAAAATCTACATTAACTCAAGTTAGATACACAACATTTTTTCTTTGTTGCAAGTTCCTCAAAAAGAGTTCGATTGGTCTCATTTGACGTTCTCTGTTGCACTTTTGGCACCACAATCAAAGATTACTGAAAAAAAATTCACGTGAAAAAAGTATTTTATGTTTCACATATCATACTGGGGGCCAGATGAGACGTCAACAAGGGGCACATGAGCTTGACACACATGGTCTAACCATTTATTTATTAGCTTGTTTGCTCTCTTGAAACTTCCTGAAATGAAACCAGGAGCATGAGGTGAAGGGCACTTTTATCTTTTGATAACACTTCGATCTGTGCACGCTGTAACTTTATTAACAGCCGAAATGTTGAACGGAGCTGATGCAACGCCAGAATTTAAGATAGGAAAACATATGAACAGTTTAAGAAGTGTAATGAGAACTAAGATCAAAAGACCTCAGAGACGACTGGCTTTTCTTATCCGTTTCACCAAAACCCCAATGAATGTCAATGTGTGATTTTTATATAAAATTCATGTGTTTTGTATAAACTATTGCAATCAAAAGTTTTAACACACCATTCCCCATCAAGCTGCATGTTTTTATGCGTAATCTGCAGCGGTGGACACAGTTCCGCTAATCTAACAGCAGAACTAACTTTTCGATTAGCAGATTAGCATTTTCAAAAACTTTGGAAACCGTTAGCGGATCAATTAGCTTCCGCTAAATGGATTTCTGATAACTTTGTCTGCTAACGCTTTTTGAAGACCTCTCTCCACCCTCCAACAAGCGTACAGGAGAACAGTGACTCTCACGAAGTAATGATATTCTATGCTAAACAAAGCTAAGCATAGCAAGTTCAAGAATCTTTATTATTCCCAAGGGGCAATTTGTTTCAAAGTCAGTAGGCACATAAAACATCCATACTATACATTAAGTCATTAAAATAACATAAATCATCATTGTTCATTGAGAAGCCTGATTGCTACAGGGATGAATGAGTTCAGTCTGTTCATCCTCTGGGCAGCAGATACCTGCATCCAGATGGAAGCAACCTGAACTCACCATGGAGTGATGATCAGGATCTGCCAGAATCAGCCTGGGCTCGCATTGCGCCTGCAGTTTTGCTGCACATCCTAACAATCCCCAAGAGTTTGTTCCTGTTTATGCATGACAAAAGTCCACACCAACAAAAGGTGAAAGCAACTTAGCAGGAAAAGCTAAGCATCATCTAGTGACATCACTGTTAAATACGGAGTTTCCCCCTTATGGATACCGGGAACAACCTCTGACTCATGGTGTCTATTTACAGCCAATAAGACACTTCAGCACAGACGCTAAACCAAACCTGAACAGGACATTAACGAGAACCCATTCCTACACTCAGAAACATAGTAAACAGTCAGAAACATTGCACATAAAAATCCTAGAATATTACCCAGCATTCTTTGCAGCGCACACAGACTCTGGGGTGTGACACTTACACACTTCACACATCTTTGCTTTAATCTTGGGCATGCAAATATTTGTCTTTAAGTGTTAATCATGTTTAATTATCCACCCATCCATTGATAATGCGATAATCCATTGGCAATCCAAAGGATTATCACAATTGGTAATCCATTATCACAGCAACTTTGTATTGAGTTTAAACATTAACCACAAAGATGATCACTAAAGGGAGTTAACTCGTTAAATGACACGAGGGAGACGTCCGACACGCATTGAATGCGCAGCAGAGTTTTGCCTCTTTGGTTCTGATGGACTGGATTAATTCTGAAAGCTTCACCGGTACTTGTGATTTATGAATCGTTTAGAGTTGTGTTCACTTCCAACGTTGTCGCATTACACACGGTCTTACAGTGTCAGCAACAGCAGGATGATAAAAGTTAGCGGTTATCAGTTAGCGTTAGCTTCTGCTAATTTTTTTTTTAACCTGTTTAGCGATTCAACGTTAGCGAAGCTAATTTTTTGGTTAGCTGTGCCCACCACCGGTAATCTGTACGTTTTATTCCAACGCTGCGTGGCGAGATTACAAGCGAGTATTAAAGATGCTTTAATGCATGACATGTTAAAAAAAAAGGCAACAGCTGGATGTAATGAACCTTAAAAGAACAGAATAAATAAGATAATTTAAATTCAACCTGCGTTCTTCTCATAGATTTATGTTTCTTTAGGTTTGGAGATTTTTTTTAGCATGTTTTATTTCTGCTCCTCTGACACACCCACTCTCAAACTCTGATGTCCTTCCTAACAGTGCCGTATTAACCGTTGTCCTACTTTCTGTCCGTCCCTGTCCTCACACTCCTCCCATCCCTTTTCCCACCACCCAAACATCCACTGTGGTCACTTACTGCTCATCTCCCACCTTCTTTATCCACTCCACATCGCACTGCTTGCACGGAGAAGTCATTTCCTGCAGAAGCAGAGCATGAAATTAGATTAGTGCACAGCTGATGCTGGAATATCGGACAAAAATCAGAAAGCAAGAGCAAATCACGACACGTTTGAAGAAAAAAACAATCTGAATGAGGCGTATGAGCGCGGTGATGACCGTTCTTCATACTCTTACAGATACCCCCTTTTTAGGAGTATTTTCCCAACGTCACTGGAAGATAATCTCATTTTCTTTTCAGCTGTGAAACCGTTCTGAGAAGCAGAAAAGACAAACATCGCTGCAGCTGTTAAATATGATAACTACAGATTAAATGTGAATTCTGACTGCATTCTTGTTCGGCATCCCAGCTCTGACTCACTACAGTTGGCACCTAATCAACACATTTGAAACTCTGTTTGAAATAAGAACATTGATACGTGCAGTTAACAAAAAAAAGAAAGAAATGTGTACATGGTGGTAAGTTGTTCTGTTCGGATTGTTACTGGATGAATAAACCACGTCATTTTAAACAGAAACAATATCTTCCAGTCTCAACGTTTACTGAAAGATTTGTGACGTTTGCAGAGGGATTAATTCCTTTATTAACGGAAATATCCACCCTCATCTGCCCCACTCTGGGCCCTTGAGCAAGGCCCTTAACCCCAATCATCTGCTCCCGCTGGGCGTCCCAGACAGCAGCTCTCTGCTCCACACCGAGGGCTGTGGTAGCTCGGTGGTCTGTGGTTGCGTCAGGAAGGACGTCCGTTGTAAAAACAGTTTCCATGTCTTCGTGCGAGTTTGGTTGCTGTGGCGCCCCCTGAAGAAGGAGCAGCTAAAAGTTTATTTCTTTTACAGAGATATTAATATAAACGCATTTTAACTATTATTCTGAATTTAACAACTTTTTATAACGTATTGGTGTTGGAAACACCATCAGAGGTAACTGTAAAGTAGCATCTTGTTGTAGAAAAGAAGCCTTTTCAGTCAAACCAAAAAAAAGTTTATTTTTTTATTTTTTTACATTTTTAACCTTGAGGGCTCATCTGATAATAAATTCTTCTTCTTTTGACTTTTCCCTCTTCAGGGTCACCACAGCGAGTCATCTTCCTCCATCTCTGTCCTCTGCATCCTCTGTCCTCACTCCAACTACCTCCATGTCCTCTCTAACTGCATCCATACATCTCCTCTGTATTTTTCCTGCAGCTGCATTTCTAACATCCTTCTACCAATATACCCACTGTCCCTCCTCTGGACATGTCCAAACCACTGTCCATCCTCTGGACATGTCCAAACCACTGTCCCTCCTCTGGACATGCCCAAACCATCTCAGTGTGTCCTCCCTAACTTTATCTCCCAGAGGTTCAACCTGTGCTGTACCTCTGATGATCTCATTCCTAATCTTATCCACCCTTGTCACTCCTAAGGAGAACCTCAACATCCTTGTAGCCTCACTGTTCCACCTCCTCCCTCTCATTCACACACATGTGCTCTGTCTTACTGAGACTTTCATTCCTCTTCTTTCAAGTGCATACCTCCACCTCTCCAAGCTCTCTTCCACCTGTTCCCTGTTCTCACCACAGATCACAATGTCATCTGCAAACATCATAATCCATGAGGATTCCTGCCTGACCTCATCTGTTAGTCGGTTCATCACCAGAGCAAACAAGAAGGGGCTCAGAGCTGATCCCTGATGCACTCCCACCTCCACCTTGAAGCTATCTGTCACTCCTACCACACATCTCACCACTGTCCTGCTGTCCTCATACATGACCTGTACCAGTTTAACATACTTCTCTGCCACTCCAGATATCCTCATGCAATACCACACCTCTGTTCATGTTTGCTCTGATCACCACTCTCTCCTCCCTGGGAATATGCTCTATCACTTCATCCTTCCAAAGTTTATCTTTCTTCTCTTCATCACATCCAACCTGTGGAGCATAACCAATGAGCATCAGACCTTCTACTTCTACCTTCAGACACATCACCCTATCTGACACGCTTTTCACATCTACTACATTCTTTGTCAGCTCCTCCTTGAGGACCACCCCTACTCCATTTCTCTTTCTATCCACACCATGGTAAAACAGTTTGAACCCTGCTCCAAGGCTGCGAGCCTTGCTGCCCTTCCACTTGGTCTCTTGGACACATAAAACATCTACCTTCCTTCTCTGCATCATGTCAGCCAGCTCTCTACCTTTGCCTGTCATTGTCCCCACATTTAGAGTTGTAACCCTACATTTTTCACTTTCCTCTTCTCCCTCTGTCTCCTGACATGTTTCCCTCCTCGTGGTCTTTGATAAACAGTAGCACAATTTCCGCCGGCACCGTTTGTCAACAGCACCAGTGGTGGTCGTCGTTAACCTGGGCCTCGACCGATCCGGTATGGTTTTGCTTGGATGAACTCGCATTATAGCTTTGGCAAAAGTATTTTACGTCTGATGCCGTTCCTGACACAACCCTCACCATTTACCCGGGCTTGGGACCGCCACAAGAGATACACTGGCTTGTGCTCTCAAGTGGCTGGTTTTCATCTTTAATGACAACTAAGAAATACTAAGCCTGCAATTAACTATTAAATTTGACATGCCTGGATAATATTTTTATTTGTTTCATTTAATCTGCTTACATCCATCTTGTTTGTTTGTTTTTGTTACATTATTATCACCCGTTTTAAGTTTTATACAGTCAAACTGCCAGAAACTAAATAAAAGAGCCTTTATGGCTGGATTCAGCAGAGTCCGCCCTGTTCTTTAAGATGCATCGTCACTTTTTGTCCAACCCGTTTTAAAAAATGTGGAGTAAAATGTAAACATGTCTCTGTGTCTCCTGACAAACATTAGGCTACTTTAAACTCTGAACAGACGGCATCACCACATTAGTTGTTTTTACTTTTTAACAATGATGTGAACATGGATGAGCTCTTAAAACTTTTAGCTTTTCAAGGTGCAGAATCCTTCAGCGCATTCCCCAGGTGGTCTTTAAGTGCTCGTGTTTAAAGAGCAAGCAGTGAAAAGTGGGTCTCTCTTTAGCTAAAAACGGCTTCCTTTGGTGCAAAAATACATCAGAGCAGAATCAGTGAATCTGTAGGATGATGTTCAACTTGGAGTTTGGAGTTTGTATAGTTCTGACTGAGATGTGGAATTTTGCAGAGATTTTATGTTTCCTTTAGTTTTTCAAGCTCATTAAAGGACATTTTAAACACCTTCATTGGTCTTAAAGCTTTAAATTCCTCCAAACGCCAACACTGACCCTCTCTCTGTGATTGTTCTGCAGCTGTCGCATCTCATCCTTCAGCCTCTCGCACTCCGCCTTCAGCTCCTCTTCCCTCTGGCACGCTCCCTGGGCCTCGTGCCGTGCCCCTTCTAGCTCCGCCTCCAGGCGCTGCAGCTTCAGGTCAGACAGGGCGTCCAAGCTGCGCGAGCTCTGCAGGGTCAGGGCTGGACAGTCCAGCACTGAGGGGACAAAAAGAAAAGAGAAATGCAAAAAGACGAAACACTGAGCTTTTCATCGCTTCTCCCCCGGCTGATGCACCGCCCTTCTGTTGTATTCAATCGATGACCACAAAGGAGCAAAAGAGCTGACTTCTTCCAAGGGCAGCATCTTTCAGCGTGTACCTGGGTGATTTGATCTGTGTGGGCTGGTTAGTGATTCAGCTCCGCTCACGCAGTCCTTGAGCTACAGAAGACATGGCAACAGCACAGCAGCATCATCTTTTTTATCCTGCCTCCACACCAGAACACTCGTGTGCTGCTAAAGCTGCAAACATTCTGTACACAGCCAGCGCTGCAACACTTTACACATTTACACCCATTCATACACGAGCGAGAGTTTTTGCACACAAAGATTAAGAAACAAAAACGTATTTCGTGCCCCATTTTTAAAGATTTATGTGGCAGTTTGATGCTTATGCAGAGCGATACCTCCTCTTCATCTGGGAATACTATCAGCGCAGGCATCTGCTGAGGTGGCGGTGACACATTTCCTCCATCCTTCAACCGCCCACATCACTGAAGAGGGCAGAGTTTAGCATCGCTCTTAAGGTGGTAACAGAGCTGCACTAAAGGTTTGCTCAAAACGGCCGACTCTTAGTCCAAAAGAGTGGCTGACTACGTTCTGTTCAAAGGATCTAAGTAGTTCCTTGCAGGTGTTCACACATTTGGTCCTTTAGTGGTGTTCATGGAACAGGCAGGCTGGATAAAACAAACCTGCGGCACTGATCGCTCCACTCCAAATGTTTTTAAAGCCAGAATGACTGACATTCAAAGAGAGGCACACCAAAACTCATTTCTAGGCGTATTAACTGGAGACCATGACCTTGTAGGAGGAACTGAACGCTCAGACAGATTTTCTCCAAAAGATGGAGAGCTGAACTTTGTTAACCTTCTGTTGAGTCTGATGTGTTTTAAAGGCTGAGAATTCTTTGAAGGAATGCATATCACCCACCATGTTAGAGTGTTAAACTAAAATCACGATGAGAAGGAATTAAAGCTGCTGTTAATGGTTTGCTCAGTCTCTGGTGATAATGTGAGATCTTACATAATGTTTTGGCATTTGAAGAATCAACTGTCACTACATTAACTCAATATCTGTAAAACTGACTGAGTTATAGCCATTTGTGTTGTCCATCCATCCATTATTAGCTGAGGTCAGCGGACCAATTGCTCCTCACAGTTCCAGGAACTCGTCTTAAGCGCAGAGGTGACAGGGCCTTCTCTGCAGCAGGACCAAGACTTTGGAACGAGTTACCTCTGCTTGTCAGACAGGCCCCCTCCCTCTCAGTTTTCAAATCCAGTTTAAAAACTCACTACTATTCAGTAGCTTTCAACACCAGAGGATCTGTGTTTTGAACCTGTACGCTCCACACTGGTTTGTCGTCATATTTATTATCTGCATCGTTTGTATGCCTATATTTTTTATTTACTTCATTTTGTATTTTGCTTCGTGTGTTGTCTGTTGTTTCTGTCTATACAGCACTTTGGTTGGCCTTGTTGCTGTTTTAAGTGCTCTATAAATAAAATGGTATGGTATGGTATTATCTTCCGCTTATTCCAAAGTCGGGTCTCAGGGGCAGCAGCTTGAGCAGGGAGGTCCAGACCTCTTTCCACAGCCACCTCTTCCTGCTCTTCTGTAAGGACCCCCAAGGTGTTCCCAGGCCAACCGCGAGATGTGGTCTCTCCAGTGTGTCTTGGGTCTTTCCCGGGGTCTCCTCCCAACCTCCCTAGGGAGGTGCCCAGGGACCATCCTTATCAGATGCCCAAACCACCTCAACTGGCTCCTCTCGATGTGGAGGAGCAGCGGTTCTACTCAGAGTCTCTCCTGATAACTGAACTTCTCACCTCATCTCTAAGGGAGAGTCCAGCTACCCTGCAGAGGAAACTCATTTTAACCTCCTGTATCCATGATCTCATTCTTTCAGTCTCTACCCAGAGTTCATGACCAGAGGTGAGGGTAGGAACTTAGACCGACTAGTAAACAGAGAGCTTTGCCTTATAGCTCAGCTCCCTGTTCACCATAATGGACCGGCACAGAGTCCACAATACTGCAGACACTGCACCAATCCATCTGTCAACCTCACACTCCATTCTTCCCCCCACTCGTGAACAAAACTCTGAGATGAACTCCCCCACTTGAGGCAGAACCTCACCCGCGACCTGAAGAAAACAATCCACCCTTTTCTGACTGAGGACCATGGCCTCAGATTTGGAGGTGCTGGTTCTCATCCCTTGTGTTGGATACGGTCACTTAGCTGTGGCGGTCATTGTGAATTAGGGAAACTCCAAAAGTTATTGAGTTTTAGACGTACATCCAAAAATACTTCCTGAACTGTAACTGGTTAACTTTTCGGCCACCACAGATATGCAACACAAAGTGGCTATAGCTATTTTAGCTAAAACAATTTCTGTATGTTGAGCTAAAACTTGGTGTGGTAGTAGCTGAGAGTCATTAACATCACATGCTCTGAGCATGTTATTTTCAAGTTTGACCAAAGTGGCTACAACTCTGTCTTTGGTCATCCCAGATGATTTCAGTGTAAAATTCTGGCAGTAAAGGCATCGGGTGATATCCTTCAATGAATGCTGGACCTTTAATGATACGCACGTGTCTCTAATCTGACGTCCTTCAGACGGACGTATGAATCCACCTGCGACAAGAGTCTTACTGTGTTTTTCGGGCCCGGCGTGGAGCTGCAGGTACTGCATGTCTTTGCTGTGAAGCTGCATGTTGAGCTTCTGCACGGAGTCGTCCCTCTGCCTCAGAGCCGACTCCAGACCCAGAATCCTCTCCACGTGTTTCTCCACCAGGTTGGTCTGCAATCACACAGATTCCCAGCGTTTAGCTTTGAAATCAAAATCCAAATCAGAACAAGCTTTATTATCATTGCACCAAAAAACCATTGCTCCTTCAGAGCGTGGCCCCTTATCCTTTTTTAGAATACTTTTTAGATGGAAAAGGGGAAAAAAGCCATGAGGATAGGATAGTGGTATTACAAAAAAGATCTCTTCACATCTTGTCCTATCAGGACATGATTTAAAACATCAAAAACCTCTACCAGCAGCACATTTATAAACACATTACACGTGCGTTTGATGGCAAGACAGTGAGATTTGTCAGTGAAGCACTTCCAGATAGACTATAGTCCTGATAAGATGTTGGTGTCTGACGGTACTGCTCTGATAAGCCTTTACAGAAGTTCTTGAGGTGGGGGTGGGGGGTTGCGATAGGCGTAACTTTTCCTTAGTTTACACATATCCCAGGAGAAATTTGATAAGTCAGCCTGCGTCGAGGCCAACCAGGGGAGTCAGATTCAGATAAGCTACAATTGATGGTTATTTCAGGCAGACAGTTTTTTCTCTCGTCAGCCTTGAGTCCTGCTGGTACTTTCAATCCCAAAATAGCCAGATTCGTGGGCATTCCATTGGTTTGAGCTTATTAACTTCCTCCAAGGTCGTCTCCAACATGCCAGCGAGTCCCAGAAGCCTCAGGTGGCCTGCGATTCTCACAAATCACCTCCATCTTACAGTTTAGCTCGTAAATCAGCTGATGTTGAGTACTCGAAGCACGAACCAAACCTTCACACAGACTCTACAGTTTTGCCACGGCCAAAAATGTTGCTGCCATCTTCTTTAATAGCCGATAACAGAAATCTGCCAATGCCAAAACCCAGAAAGGCTGCTATCATGAATCAAATTATATAAGCATCTTCGGTGTCCTCCTGAGACAATACAGAAAGACACGTCAGCTTCCAAACTCCCCATGGATCCATGACGTATCCTGTTGCGTGCGTCTCAGCGGGGCATGAGGGCTCTCCAGGACCCTGTCGCTTTGTTGAAAAGATTTTATCGACTGCGTTGAAAATCCAGCTGACCAGATCCATGACAGTAGTTTTAGTTTTGGAAGATGTGTAAAATAGGAGCTCCAATACACAGACAGAGAGCAAAGTAAGCAGGAGGAGGATGGGAGAGGGAGCGAGGAAAAGACAAGAACTTCAATATTTACTGAAGATATGTAGATGTGGGCGTAGAGAAAAAGGTTTATACAACCTTTTCAAGCTACTTGTTACAGCTGAGAAGGAAGTAGAATATAGTTATTATCTCTGCTCTTGTGAACACATCAAGGGGAGGTAAATTTCACTCATCTGCATTAGTGATATTTGCAGCGAGTGACCGATCGGAGGTCATAAATACAGCTCATCTGAGGCTTCAGCTGCAAAACAACACTTTGTGTTACACTAGAGATGTTACACAACAATTTATTAAAGATGTCAAACCATAACTGCATCAAAAAATTGGTATATTCTGACAAGTCTCTCACACTGACTCATTTAGGAGATGATTAATACGTTGGCTCAGCCTCTAAGAAGGTGTTCTGATTTAAACGAACTTAAAGTGACTGTCTATATGTGAACTCTTGAGATGATTGGTTTTATATGAAACTCTCTCCTTTGGTTTGTGGTTATTTTATGAAATTTAAGGGAAACTCTGAAGAAGAGCAAAAACTTTTAGTGCCTTGAAAATATGGAAGAAAACGTTTCTTTTCTCCCAGTTATTCTTGGATTTCTACATTCCTTTTATAAATTGTTACTTAGCACAAATAAAACTCTAGAATTTGACTTTATAACAAATATAATTTTGTAAAAGTTTAAAGGACAGACACAGAAAATAAACAAGATAACCAAAAACAAAAGGAGTAAAACTAACAACACAAAGATTATCAAAACCAAGAGAGAACAGGTCCTGACAGGTCTCACTGGGCTTGGACTGTTGGGAAACCCGTTAGCGACGCCACATTCCGAGGATAAAATGTGGATTTTTTTTTTTTTTACCAGGATTCACTCAAACACTCAAAGACATGCTTGCATAAACTCTCAGCTAATTTGGAGCTAAAGTTCGATGAGCGTTTGCCTACATATTAACCAAAAACTACACTTCTAGTGCTCAGATTCATGAAGCTACATTAAGAAATGTTCGAGACTCGGTAGAACTTTGAATAAGAGCCAAAAAACATGCCCAGCCAATCAATGAGTGGTGTTTGTACTCGTTACCTACACTTCAGCTTACCGGACTCATTATTCAAAGCTAATGTCGTCCAAGAAAACCTTTATTTTTAAATACTGTTTAGTTTTACCTGCTAAAACTTTCACAACATTCTGTGCATTATCTTGTATAAGTGAGAAGTAGCCACTAAAAAGCCACAGCTTCAGGTGACTTTGGCTCTTTGGCAGGTAGCAGGTCCGGACTTTTCGGCACTTTGGCTTCGTTCTGTAATCTCTTTAAATGGAGGATACTCCGTACGATGAACCTCGCCATCAGCGAGACGGTTTATCACCACAAAGGGCACCTAAAAAGATCAAGCAGCCAATCTGTTCAGTCCGATGTCTCCGCCTGTGTTTGATTTGTTAGCACTTAGAAAATATGAGATATACACAAAGCAGGGTTAATTGTAGTATTTCATAAAGCTCAGATTTGGCATTTATGTTCAGGGAAAACAATACTTAAAATAATTGCTGGAAGCGGTTTTGTTGTCCTCAAATATTTTAGCAAGATTGCAGTCTGGATGAACAAAAGGAGTTTATTTTTGTAGTAAAGGTAGGAAGTTAACAACGTTCTGGTAAAACAGAAAGGTGGAGACACAAACTGCTCTGAAGGAATGATGTAGACCCTCCTGTCCAATTAGTTTCCAGGTTTTGTGTCATGTGACGGCAAGAAAATGTGTTGTATATCAACGAGTAACTGTATTTTCCTTGCAGTGAGAATCTCAAAATCATCATCTTATTTATTTATTTTTTTAAATGCAGCTTATGAGCTATAACTCAGACAAATTAGTGCTTATTTTATATTAAATTAGAGGATTTACTTCTGTAGTAAAGGCTAAATGGGGTGCAAGCAAAAACAAAATTGCATATAACAATTTATCCAATGTTCAGAAGTGGACAATAGAATCATAAACACAAATAAAATAAAAAACAGCATTTTATACAACTTTAAGACAATCTTCAGACACAGATTGTAGATTATAGATTATCTGGGCGGTTCTTATGTATCACCCAACACTGGAGGTGAAGGACAGTAATGGTTTTTGCCTGTGTCTGTGTGTTTATTTGTCTATAGCGTTAGCAAAATATCTCATGAACTAGTTGACATCTTCTAAAGAAACTCTGTAGGTCATAATTAGATCATCTACGACTCCAGAAAATTTGTTACATGAGCGTATTTGATGCCACTGCGTTGGTTTGTGACCAGCAGGACTTCTGTGCTGAAAGTTTCCTGCGGAAGACGAAACGTCCACGCTGACGAGAACTTCTCACATCTACACCAGCAAGACGTCTTCACTTCTCGGGGAATGTGGATTTATACCACAATAAGAGTTCCAGCGTTTTCCTTTGCAGCTCTTCTACACCAGAAGGTGCCAACAGATCCACACCTGAGGACCATTCGCTTGACGAGCTACAAGGATTAAGGCAGTTGATGACTGCAACCCGACACTGATGCATCATCTGCCCATCGGTAGTTGAGTCCTGGCCTTTAGGGCCACCGTACCTTTACCTTGCTCACAGTGTTTTGTGAAAGACTAATCTTGCATCTCCTTGTCATAGCTTGACTCCTGTGATCCTCCTGAGCCTTGGACCTCCCTGATTGCCTCCTTGTGATCTCTCCAGCTGTTCCCTGCTTCCACCACTTGCCCAACGTTTGTGTCAGACCATTTTGAACCTTTTGGATTTAAACCCATGCGACGACTCTGCCTGTTCGTAGGTTCCAGTCCAGATCTACAGGTCCTGCACACTGTTCATTATTATTCACTCCTGTAAATAAACACTGTTAAACTTTCTCCTGGTCCTGAAGTCGTTGTTCTCAGTCTCATGCTATCTGGGTATAGAGTCAAACCTTACACATTAGACCTAAGACATTTGATTGTGCTGGTTGGTGGCGGTCTGTTATAAAGAGACTGACATCTTTTTTTATGATCGGTGTGGGAATGTGCCCCTACGGTTTATTTAAGATTTATTTGACTTTCTTTGAAAGTTTTCCTGGAACAGTAAAAGATGGCTGTTTTTCCTAACAGCCTTGGCTAGCTGCTCCTCAGCGGAGTAGTTGAAAATGAGAGCAGAGTAGTTCAGCCACTTTTATGCGTTAGCGCTTCACAAAGATCCGACCAGTTGCACAAACCCTGCAAGAAAAAAGTTCTGCCAGGGCTCTGTGAACAGAACGGGTTCTTGAGGGTGATGCGACAGAAAGACACAACTTTTGTCCTGCAGTCACATCAGCGAGAAAATGTCTGGCACTTCTGATGACCTATAAATCACCCTTTGTGTACTTCTTAGGTCTTATGACATGTAAACTTGATCAGCAAAGATGGAGCTATACTGTACTTGTGCTTATTTTTCACATTTAGGTTTTTATTATTTATCATTCTTCTCCCTAGATATTTTAAGGTGCTCCTTGCATGTTTGAAATGAATGAATCAATTGAAAAAAACTACATCATAATGTCAGACTTGTTTGTTATATACTCCGAGTGTCAAACTGTAAAAGTTATAAGCTCTGAGACTCGTGTAAAGCTGCTGTGAATTCCAAAATAGAAGCCAAGCCTCTGACCATCTTGTCGAGATCCCTCTGGAGGTTGTTCTTCTCCATGTGAATCTTCTCGTAGGCCTGGATCACATCCTCCAGCTGCTCCTCCCTCTCTTTTCTCTTCTGCAGCTGAAACAGCAGAGAGGGGAAAAAAAAAATCAAACACATAAGAGGCTTGACACATTTTCCCTTTCCTTTCAGTTTTCAAACTTCCCCGCAAAGAGAAAGAACGCCACAAAAACTTCTATTGTGAGAGTCATCAAATGCGTCGCTCAAGTTTTGCAGCCGAGGAAAATTAGGACACCGAAATTCCGAGACCTCAGCATGTGCAAACGCAGCTCTTCCGAAATCTTACAGCTGCATGAAAAACAAGGATTTCTTGATATATCGCTGACTTTTTGTACTGAGACAGAGATCGCCACAGGACGCCACACGGATCGGAGCGCGGCGGCGTGGGGACGCCAAACTGAGTGAAACGAGAACGTCAGAACAGTCGAGGGGAAGAGCTTCTTATTAAAAACCACACGGTCACTTCAGACAACAGAAAGAGAGAGTGGGAGCTGCAGAAAACGAGCGAGATAAACAGTCAGCGTGGAAAACGAGGTTTATCACTGCCGTGTTGTAGGACTGTGTCTATGGTAACATATGGCGGTAAAAAACTGGCACCAGTGCGTGGTCTGCTTTGTGAAAAAGAAGAGCAGGGATGCTCCGGAGCTATATCTGTACTGTGAGAGCACAAAAAAAGCTAATTTATATCTTGTTCTCACAATATTCACACTTTGGTTTGGATGCTATGGTAGGATTTTTTTAATACTTGTTTTTCATGACTTGCTACAAGCACCGTTTCAAACATTTTGTCGCTTCCAGTTCTTTATTTGACACAGTTACTAACGGAAAATCAGCCACTTCACTTAATAACCAAACTTCTACAAGTCAATCCTCAGTTAATCACACCTTCTCTTTTTCTCCATTCTCAGTCAGTGAGGTCAATAAACTGTTAAAAGATCTTGATCCTAAAAAATCTGCAGGTCCAGATGAACTTCCACCTTATTTCTTAAGGCTGGCTGCTCATACCATCACAGTCCCTGTGACCCACATCTTCAATCTCTCCATGAGACAAAACTCCATCCAGACACTTGAAAACAGCCTTTGTTCTTCCTTTGCTGAAGGGAGGTGACCCCACCTCACTGAACAACTATGGACCAATCTCTAAACTCTGCATTTTAGCCAAGGTTTTAGAAAAACTGATAAACTCTCAAATCAAAAATGACCTGGACTCATTTAACATCTTACCTCCACATCGATCTGGTTTCAGGAAACAACACAGCACATCGACTGCTTCACTGAAGGTTCTTAATGACGTTGTTGAAGCACTGGATGCTAAGGATTATTGTGCTGCACTTTTCTTAGACCTGTCTAAAGCTTTTGACACTGTGGATCAGAACATCTTGTGTCATAAACTCTCAGAAATCGGAATCGATTTTTTTTTTTTACAATAATTGGCACTCAAATAATGCTTATATTGAGACCACGTTGATTTGAATTGGACCACAACTGGATAGAATGGGCCTATTTGTTTTGAATTGGAATAAAAGCATTAAACCAGTTTCTGATTTAATTTACTGAAATGTATTCCATTGGACTGATCCATATTTTATGGGATAAAAAATAATTTTAATGCCTTGAACTGAACTGCTCTCACTTTGAACAGTTGGATTATGACAGGAACAAAAAAAAAAAAAAAAACTACTCCTTTCATTTCCTTTAGATTACCTTTCTTCATGAACAAATACAACTGAAATAAAATTATTTTAATGATAGGTTCCTACTGTGATAAAGGTGGGTAATTGTGGAGTTAATAACGAGGAGCGGCTGCAGTTAAAGCATCCATGCCTGTAGGAAAAGGGAATCCCAGTTCTTACCCAAGGCCCGTTCATAGAAGGTATGATTGTTGTGTCAGTGCATGTACTCGGATGATAATAGAAACTATACTCGTTGGACCCGGTCCAACCTTGAACAACAACCACAAGCTGGAGTTTAACCCTTCGTGTCAATCCCTTCACTCTTTTCTGCACGGTGACTCCTGGTTTTGCACAGAGCTGAACTTGTTCGTCCCAGTTTAGGCTCTTTCAGCCATTTTTGCAGACAGTTTGGTCTCACTCCAGACTGGTAACCAGACAGTTTATAGGCTCTTTCACAAACAGCTCAAGCCAGGGGATGCCTTCGGGCCACCTTGGTGCATCTTTGGGCTGCAAAGTGACGTAGTAACAGAGGTGAAATGTGGACATGTGAAAAGGTAAGACAGTGCCACAGTGATGGCATCTGGTCTGTGCGACCGCCTGTCGAAGAACAGATTGATGATGACGCACACAAACTTTGTATTTAGTTTTTAAAATGGTTCACCAGAGAGAGGATCGCTAAACTGAGTTAATTCACCGTGTTTTGAAAGTGATACGAGACGTCTGAGCACATTTAATGTGCACCACGTCAACCCAGCTGAGTTCTGCTCCACTCCTCTTTGTGTTCTGCAATGAATGTTTTGTTTCTGAAACCAGCTCCGTCTGTGATTTTTGAACAGACTGGGCTGTGCGGCCATTTCACAGAACTGTTTTGTGAAAAGGCCTTTTGTTTCATACGACGGAGCTTTAGGGCCACGCTAAGAAAACAAAAATTAAAAGCCATAAAATTATGAGAATAAAGTCATACAAGACTTTTTTTTTTTTTTTTACAGCTCTTGTTCCCCCCCACGAGTCGGATCCAGGACGCGACCTGTCAATCAATCCAGTAGGCGTGTCAGCAAATGACCAGTCCGAAGCTAAATGCTCTTACCTGCAGAGCTGCGCTGCAGCTCATCAGAGTGTACCACCTTACTGTAAGCTGGTTCATAGTCCTGATACTGATAATAATCTGATGCTGATGTGTTAACAGATTATCTCCTTATTTGTAAAACCAAAGTATAACTTAAAATGTTCAACAATCTTCATTTTACCACAGTTAAAATGAGGTAAACCTGCTTTATGTGTCGGAGTTCGGATAATATTATGACTCATTTAGCTTCGGATTGGTCATTTGCTGACACGCCTACTGGACTGATTGACAGGTCGCGTCCTGGATCCGACTCGTGAAAAAAACAAACAAACAGAGAACTGCAAAAAGTCTCGTACGACTTTATTCTCGTAAATTTACAGCTTAATTTTTTTTTTCCTAGCGTGACCCTAAAGCTCCATCGTAGTTTCACAACAGAGGAATGCTCGACCAAGTGCAAACTGCGCAGCAGCATTTATCTTCACATCTCTGGAAAACACTGGAAAACCGAGTTGATTTCTTGTGGTCTACCAGCGGAGGCACAAAGGACGCAGTCGTAGAGAGAGAAACAAGTTCAGGACGGAGCAGCAGCACGGAGGCTCCATTGATTTAATTGGAAAAACACTGAAAACACACACAGAGGTCACTTCACTAAATGAAAGTGGTGTGTGTGTGTGTGTGTGTGTGTGTGTGACTGTCCTGCTCTATTAGTCTTGTTCCAACAGAGCATGCTCAGTGAGCTGTGGCACATTTCATCACTCTGAATGCCAGGTGTCAGACCCCCTCCTCCTAACCTTCAGAACCCCCCCACTAATCATCTCTGCCTCGCTCTGCTACAAACCATTTCCTCGCTCTGTAGCTCTTCTTAGCACAGCTGCTGCTGCCAGTTTTACCACAGCCTTCCTGTGTCGGTCGCGTCTCATTTCCCCGTTCTCTTGTTCACACAGTTGTACCAACGGAGGTTCAGCTGAGCAAAAAAACGTTATCAGCCCATGTCTATAAATAAATAATAATAAATAAAGTGATATGTGTTGCCATCATTGTGTGTTCCCATACAATGGAGAAACTGGTTCTCTGCTTTTAACCCATCACACCTGGGGTGCACCCAGGTGGAGCAGTGGACAGCTATGTAGGCGCCCAGAGAGCAATTAGGGATTGGGTGTCTTGCTCAGAAACACCACAACATCACGGGAATGGCTGGAGATCGAGCCTGAGGCTTTCAGTCCTGGGTTGGCTGCCCTGCCTTTACCCCATCTTGGGTCGCCATGATCCCAATTCAGAAAAAGATGTGATATTGTGTAAAATGTACATAAAAATTTAATTCAATGGTTTACAAATCTCATAAACTTGTACATAAAAATCATATTAAATGCTAAAAAAAATGGTGATTTTAAATTTTATGGCACAAAAGTTGGGATACGTGCAACAAAAGGCTGCATTAGTGAGTCGTACAAAAAAGAAACAGCTGCATTTTGCGACTAATTAGAATAATTGTCAACAGGTCGGTAAGAGGACCGGGAATAAAAGGAGCAGAGAGGCTGGATCTCTCAGAAGTAAAGACGGGCAGAGGTTCACCAGTCTGCATCAAAACCAGAGTCATCCACAGTTAATAACATCAGGTTTTAAGAATCTGCAGAAATTTCTGAGCTCAAAGGCTGAAAGTCAACTTGATCGTGATCTTCAGGCCCTCAGGGGCCACTGCATTAAGACCAGGTCTGGTTCTGTTCTGGGCTCAGGAACACCTCCGCAGATCATTGTTCTGTGTTCCTGTTGACATGTTTTTTTATAACTTGGCATTTTCTTTTAACTGTGTACTTTTTTGTGTTGTATTTGTTGCCTCTTGACCAGGACTCCCTTGAAAAAGAGGTTTTTCATCTCTATGGGTTTTAATCCTGGAAAAGGTAAAAAAAAATTATCTGTAAACATAGTTCATCCACAAATAAGATAAAATAAACTTTATTGTCTAACACAACTGTGGCAGAAATTCTCCTTTGACGCGCTCTACATTCATCATGCACGCACAAGAACCAACACTAGAACAGAATAAGGAAAAATCTAAGCCATCTGTGAACACCATCCAGAACCGCTGGACCAGCGCTCATTTAAACTGGGCCGAGGTGACGTCCAGAACGGTTCTGTGGTCAGACAAGTTCAACTTCAAATGATTTTTGAAAACCACGCGTGTTCTCTGTATTAAAGAGAAGAGGGACCATCCGGCCTGTTGTCAGCTCACAGTTCAAAGGCCTGCCTCGCTGATGGTATGGGGGTGCATTGGGGCCTCTGTCATGCACATCTGGAAAGCCACTATGAATGTGGAAAGGTAGATACCAGTTTTAGAAGAGCATGTTCTCCCAGTTAGCAGACTGCATCAACAATCCATCAACTCGTCTGTCAGGTTTAGTAAAACAAGAGGACGTTTCACAGTGAGAACACGCTTCTGCACCGTCTTCAAGATCTGTTGCTGCCAAAAAAAATTACATATTTGTTTTTAAATAGTCCAATTTCTTAGTTTAAGAACTTTAACAATTGGTTTATGAGATTTGTAAATCCTGGTATTTTGCTTTTTTTTTTTTTTTTATACATTTTCCCATCGACTTTTTGGAATTAGAGGTGTAAAAAAAAAACAGACTGCAATGTTCTCGTTTAGGTTTAGCAACACGTCCAGCAAAGTCTCAGGTCTTGTTCTGGTTTTAATGCATCTTAAAAACCAGAGTCAACTCGCGTCACGCTGCTCCTCGGGCTATTTCTTAAAAATAAACCGCTCGTTGAATTGCTTGGAAAGCAGCCATCTTTAATTAGTTTTGGACGATTATTGGCCCAAATTAGAGTTTCAGTTCGTTTAATTTCCATGAACAAAAGAGGATTTTTAACTTTTGCATGACAAAAGCTAAAGTTTATCCAGTTATTTACGAACATTAAATGGATTTTTCACAGAATCTTAGCTGAGGCGACTGAATATTTACGGTCTAACCCCCCGTTTTGTCCCGTTTTACCTCGTGGGTGAGGACGTTGACCCGCTGGTGCAGGTTGCCGTTTTCTGACTGCAGCAGCGCCGTGTCTTTGCTCTCGAAGGAGCAGTAGGAGTTGGTGTCTTCGCCAAACTCGCTGATCATCGGGAACTGAAGCAACGAGAAAAAACAAGATGGAAAAAGTTTTCTAACGTGAAAAGTGCGACACGCGTCTTTATTTCTGCAACGCTAAACCTTTTTTCTGTTCAAGGTTTTTATGTTACATTTCATTTTTTTTAGTTTGTGATTATTTTACAACTTAAAGCAACATGGGTGAGATCACCCATTTAATTAATTTTATTTGCTTTTCAACCTTTAGAAAATATTTTAACTCAACTCGTTAAATGATCATTTAAAATAACCCGTATTGTTGTGAAAGTGGCTCTGAAATGGTTCGAGTGTTTTTATCACTTTAATAGCAAGTTTGATTATGTAACGAGAAAAGAAAAACTTTTTCTTAAATTGTGCGCTTCAAACACAAATCTTTGTTGTACTCCTCTCTTTGCTGACCGTGTCTGTAGACGCACAAATATGACTCTTCCTTGAAAGAATGCCTGAAAAGCTCCGATGAGCGAGAGCTGATCAGAAAAAATAAAATAAATGTCAAACATAAGAAAAACGTTGACACAGAAAACTTGAAATAGTTTACATGAAGAAGGACAAAGACGTCCTTTTTTAATATTAAAACCACCTTTCAGCCACATTGCAAATACTTGTTTGCAGTATTTTTTTACAAGTTGCATATAAAATAAAATAAAAATAAAAAATATCAGCTTTGTGATAACCTAAAAAATTTTTTTACATTTTGATGTAAAAACGTTGGACGTGTAAGGAGAACCAAAACAAACAAAACAAAAAGTTACAGCTGCTGCCAGAGGCTCATCGCCATCACCATGGTAACCAGACACTTGTGTCTCTCAATCCATGACTGCATCCAGTGGTTCCCAACCCTGGTCCCTGAGGAACACCATCCTGCATGTTCAGTTGTTCCTCTGCTCCAACACACCGTGAATGAAACGGTGACTAACAGGCTTCTGCCGAACTGAAGGAAGTAATTAAACCACTGAACCAGGTGTGCTGGAGCAGAGAAACAACTAAAACATGCAGGATGGTGTTCCTCAAGGACCAGAGTTGGGAACCCCTGAATAGACAGACAGAAACAGACTGAAAATTGAACCTCAAACAGTCGCTGTACAAAAACTACAAGTTGCAGCTTTAAAATTCTTGAACCATGATGGGCAGACGTCTCTGATGAGCCCACACGTGGATTTTTATGCTTCAACAGACTTTTATGTAGAAGATTTGACAAGTTAAAAGCTTAACTTCCTGTTTTGACGATAATATTTTGAGCTAAAAGTTTATTAAAGTTTGGGTGTGCGCTCTGCATTCTGGATGGATTTGTCGGAAAACCTTGAGCCCTATAGCAGTGAGAAACACACCGGGTGAAAGTAAACTAAAATACCTTCTGGTGTATAATTTGTACATGTTAAAAAAACAACTGTGGAAATATAGTTTGTTTGCAAAAGGTTTGAAACTTTTAGACGATTCGGAAGTTAAAGGAAAACCCTCTAACTATCATAATTTTAAACTATGAGTGTGTGAAAGCAGTAAAAGACATCAACGTGTCAGTTCAGTCAAGTAAAGTTCACCTTTTTGTGACTTGTTTAAACTTTAAATGACGTTTCTGCTGTGAACACTGGTGGAGCTGTAGAGGTCCAGTCTCACCAAAATCCCATTATTGTCTATGAGGAAATTTCTCAGCGTTTTTTAAGCCACTTTTATTATCGCGACTGAAAGCCACTATTACTGATTGAGCTGCATGTTTTGATGTATAACTTCTTAAATCTTCCAGATTTTAAAACTGATAAAAAATCACAATGGAAAAATCTACAGGATGGTACCAATAAAACCAGTGTGTGAAGTTTTTGAGCAAACAAACAGTCATAACAGTAATGTTGAAAATGTATGATTGAAATAAATATCCTTACAAGTTTGTGAGTTAAGCTCAGCCGGACGCCATGATGGAAACATTCTGGTTATTTAACGGCTGTTTCGCCTAAATGAACACATTCAGACTGCCTGCACTAAGAGCTTCTCATTTTCTTCCTGATGTCGTTGCTTTGCTGATGTAATGTCCGTTTGAGAAAACAACCCTTTTCCATTTAGCGGAGCATCTCTCTTTGCTCCGTTTAACAGTAAGTGGAGTAAACATGCAGCTTTCTTCCATCAAAGGCTTCAGGAACTCCGGAGAACAACTTGGCCTCAAACTGTGCAAGTGTGCAGGACGGAGGAGCAGAACTAACTGAGGAAGACTGTGATAAAATGGAAACACAAGATTACAACTAAAACTATAAAAACACAAATCCCGACAACTTGAAAATATCCGAACTTGCTCTTTCAGTTGCACCCTGTTGAGTTCTGCGGTGGTCAATAAAATGCCCAGTAACAGGAAAAGCAGTTACATTTGGAAATAATAAAGCTTAAATCTTCTTGGTGTCCAAACATATTGATTGAAGAATAGTCATAAAAATAATTATTAATAATCAAAACACCAATAAATACAATAAATAAATAAACCCAGCTGGTTTGGGCAGCTCAAAACATACCGTATTTGCCACCGTACACGTTGCATCGCCCTGTAAGTCGCATCAGTACAAATATGTCTAATAAAGTGAAAAAAAAAAACATGAATAAGTCACTTCGCTGTATAAGTCGCATCTATAATGCGTCACCACTGACAACCTGGAAATGTGGGCCGGTGTTGTGCTGAAAATCAATTGGCTGCCAAATGGCGGCCGTGGGAGCGTGCACGAGAGGACTTTAACAAGAATTTAACAAGATTAACACTTAAAAACAGTTATTTGTTTGCTTTAAATGATAATAAAGATGTGTCTCAGTCTAACTTTTCCTTAATAAATGCACTTTGATGGTCAAATCAGCTGCATTTCTCCTGGGCGCAGTGAAATTAAGCTGATTTGACGTTTAGGAGTTCCGGAGCGAGACGACGGTGGCTTTGTATGGCAATCCAAGTGTCTCATTAATAGTCACTTTTACACTTGGCTTGCCATATTAGTCGAGGGCCCTCTAGTGGCTGAAAATGGTAGTGTTCAATATTTTCCATGTTAGAATGAATGAAATCGTCAGATCTCAGACAAAAATTAGGTTATAAATATGGGGAAAACATAAATGAGTCGTTGGATGTATAAGTCGCAGGGCATGCTAATTTATGCAAAAAACTGTGACTTATACACCAAAATGTATGGTAATCCAGGTTCTTGCAGCTGGTTAATGATGGGAGGCAGGTTGAAATGTAAAAACAAGATGTTGCACCAACATTGTCACAGGTGTGACAACTTCTCCAACATCTGCAGCTGTTTTACTAAAACCAACATCTGTCTCTGCAGGAATCCACTGAACAAACCGGCGTTTGGCAGCCTGAAGCCTTAGGAAACAGCCGCTCACACAAACCAAGCAGGAGCTCTGACGAGACCTGAAGCCTCCTAGTTCTGGTGAAATAAACTCCGTGTTTGAGCAGAAACGTCATTCTCGTTTCAGCTTTTGTCCTCCTGAGAGTTTGAAGAACAGCGGCGTCTTTGACCTCTTTTTGTCTTTTCTTTCATTTTTGTTTTGATGCTGTTCTCATCTCGTCTGCGTACACCACAGCTTCAGAGAGTCCTCAAGTGTCTAACAGTTAGAAGAAGAAACGGAGCATTATAGGGATGCTCTGAAATTCTTAGAATAAGCAGAACACCAAAGACTAATGATGGAGCGAACATCCAAGGGTGTATTTCTCTTTTCCTCTAATCCTCCTTTGTTCTTAATTTCAACACTTCATCTCTTTCCTCCTCTACACGTCATTATCTCCCTTTACTCCCTCGTTTCATCCTCCTCCTGTTGGATGCCGTCCATTCCTCTGCCCGTGTGGCTCTTTATTACAACCTAGTTTCCCATTTCCCTTGTTTTAGTCCTCCCACATAACTCATTTACCTTTTTGTTCCCCAGAAATTCATCTAAAAAGGTGGATTTCTTCTTCAACCCGTCGACTCATCTCATCAAAAAGCCCTAAAAATACGAACGTTTACGAACAAGAAGTTTGTGATCTTGTGATTCTTGTTCACTCGGAAAATAAATAAGAATGGCAGCTCATGCAATTTTATAATTAAAACAGCTAAAATCTTGGATTAGTTGTTGTAAATCAGACTTTAATGCCTCCTTCTTGAGGTGTTTTCTACCTCCCAGCTTTTACTCCTCAAAGTGTCTGAATTAATCATCTGCTGCCTGAAAACGACGGCAGAATTCACATTTCCACACACACCAGACAAGAAGCCCAATAATAAATCCACGCTGCCAAAATCAAATGAGGAGAAACTGCTGCTCTAATTGCAGATTGATTTAATTAACTTATTGCCTAATGTGAAACTGATGGAACTGATTGTAACAAAAAAAAAGATTCTTTGTCTCATTTTTCATTAAAATGTGTGGATTGCTTTGTCATTTATCAACCTGCTCCAGATGGTTTGTTACATAAAACCATGGAAGAAGCCTTTGTTGGAAACTGTTTAAAAAAAAAAAAAACACTTTCAAGAAGTACTTGGCAGGAGAACGGATGAACAGAACTGACTAACAGAGAGGAGCCAGTTGGTCGAATCAAGCCAGCCAGGAAAGAAAGGAAAATTCCAATTTAGTCCTAGCATTCTTTGAAGGAACGCAGCGGTCGAAGGATTCGGACTGGCAACCTCCCGATCTTGCTCTCTGTGACCTCTGTGCCACACCACATATTGATAAAATAGTTTTGAAATGAAGTAAAACTTTCATTAAAGGAATTATTTCCATGCTTGAAGCCACTGTTTTTTGGGGAGTCCAAAAGTAGGCGGAGTCAGATGTGTCACCACATCATAGCATTTGGGACCTGGCTTGACAAAAATACCTGTTTTTAAGTTGTTTAACAGCATTAACTAATTAAGTGGGGAGTGGTGGCGCAGGGGCTGGAGAGGGTGAGCCTGTGATCAGAAGGTCGCCGGTTCAACTCCCCGGACAGACAACATTGAAATGTGGATGGGAAAGGTGAAACACCCACACCTGCCTTCACCCTCATTTGCCCCACTCTGGGCCCTTGAGCAAGGCTCTTAACCCCCACCATCTGCTCCCCCAGGTGCCCTAGATATCAGCTCTCTGCTCCACACAGAGGGCTGTGGTAGCTCGGTGGTTTGTTTGCATCAGGAAGGACATCCGGCGTAAAAACAATCGCCAAGTCTTCGTGCGAGTTAGTTCATTGTGGCGACTCCTGAAGAAGGGAGCAGCCGAAAGAAAATATTCTTTTAAGGAATGCCTATCGCCCGCTGCCTCTCATGACAAGGTTTTAGATCATCTTGTGCTGCAGCCATTTTAAGTCAGGCCTTGAAAATTAAGGTATTTGGATTCCCGAGTGGTATCGCATGTCGTCACGCTCGAAGAATCTCGATCAAAACTGCCAAGTGACTCATTAGATATTTAGCTTAGGCAAGCTTCTGCTACCTTTAGTATTATCTCAGCTTTTGCTGCTTTTAAATTTTAGCTGGCCGTTTTTCACTTTAGTTTGACTTTTGCTACTTTTAGCATGCATCCAACTCTTCCTTTCAGTTTGGATTTCAGCTAGTTTGATTTTTTTTTAAGCTATAAGTTAGTATTTTGCTTCTTTTAGCTTTAACCACACATTTTCAGCTTCAGCGTTTCAGCTTTAGTAGATTCCAGTAATGTCATTGAGCACTTGGCGTTGATTTTTAAATCAGTTCACCTTAATCTCGTAGATCTTCAGCTTCCTCTTGATGCTGGTGTTTTCCCGCTCCAGGCTCACCAGTCTGGTTTTGATTTCCTGGTAGGCGGAGATGAGGGCGAAGTGCGAGCCAGAGTAGACGTCGTCGGCGGGAAGTGGCGAGGCCCTCCACGCCATGCTGCCGCAGCCATCCTCCTTCAGGCCCCCAGCATCACCGCCTCCTCCCAGCAGCCCCAGCTCCCCTCCACCGAAAAGAGACTGCATCGCTCAGAGCCTCAACCTGGAAGCAGACAGAGACGGTTCATGAATTATTAAACCGCCAGATTATTTCCATTCAGTTAAACGTTCCACCCAAAAATAACCGAGTTCCAAAAAGGACTGCTTGTCCTGAAAACACCTGTCAGCCACTCAGACAAACGAACAAAAACATTTTGTTTAATTATTAAACCTTTATTTAACCAGATAAAAACCCATTGAGATCAAGACCTCTTTCACAAGGGTGACCTGGCCAAGAACAGGCAGCAGCAGCACACGTCATAAAAAACAAAACAAGTGGCAAGATTAGATGAAGACTTCAAAAATATATAAAAAATATAAAACATACAGTATAGCAGTAAATGGCAATAATTGTAATAAATAATAATTTAAAACAATAACAATTTAAGATCTAAAACACAGGCATTGTTGACAAGATATCCTTTGTATGTTTTTTTTAAGTTTGCAAAAAGCACTCAAAGTAACAAGTTTTGTCAGTTTTAATTCAACTTGCAAGGCATTCCAAGCTGAGGGACAGAAAAGCTAAAAGCTTTCTTGCCCTTTTCTGTTCGCACACGAGGAACATGAAGATACAAACAGTCCTTAGAGCATAAGGTGTAACTACTGTCCATTCTTCGTATAAAAGTACACAAATAATGTGGAAGCATGCCACTAAGAGACTTGTAAACCAAAGTCATCCAATGCACATGTCGCCTGTTAAACAGGGAAGACATATTGGTTTTAAGATAGAGATCACAGTGGTGAGTAAGGTAGCTACAACCAGTAATAAATCTTAATGCACAGTGGGTACACTGGATTCAATGACTGTAGACAACAGTTTGAAGCACACATATCATCGCCAAAGTCAAGTACTGGCAAAAAAGTAGCTGTGATCAAAAGCTTCCATGCTCTAAGGGAGAAACATGATTTGTTTCTAAAGAAGAATCCAAGCTTCACCCTTAATTTGGAGATTAGGTGTTTCACATGAGATTTAAAAGAAAGCTCCTCGTCGATAATTAAGCCCAGGTATTTATAACAGGAGACCCCCTCGAGAACTTTACCTTGGGCAATTTTTATTAGAGGGATAGTCTCCAATGGGACAGATAAATTTGAAAAAAAAAACAACCATTATTTTAGATTTATCAGCATTTAAGACAAATTTTAATTACTCAAGACAAATCTGCACCTCATCAAAAGCAGCCTGTAAGAATTTAAGTGCCTGAGCAATTGAATTGGAACAACAGTAAATTACACAGTCATCAGCATAAAAGTGGTGGGAAGAATTTTGCAAATTTCCACACAGTGTAGTAACGTAAATTGTAAATAAGATGGGCCCCAAGACAGAGCCCTGGGGTACGCCCTTTTCTACTTTAAGAAAACTTGAGCTTATTCCAGCCACTGTGTCCTATTTGCCAAATCTCCAAACCAGGAAGATGCTTCATTGGAGATGTCCAGATAGAGAAGACTTTTCACCAGGATAGTGTGATCCACCGTATCAAATGCCTTAGATAAATCAATAAACAGAGCAAATCAAACCATTTTAGAATCCAGTGCCTCAAACACATCATTTAAAACTTTTAGAGCAGCAGTTGCAGTGCTATGCTGCTTCCTAAAACCTGACTGAAAAGGGTTTAAAAGAGTATTTGTTTCTAAAAAGTCACTGTTCATCTGATGAACAGTGACATATTCTAAAGTAAAGAACTTGCAGGAAGGGTCATTGTCATTCTTTCTGATATTTAAAGATACAAAAGTCATTTTAACCACAAAGTCACCATCAGAAAGTAGGTACAAGTGTTCTGATCCTAGTTTGAAATTTAACATCTCATTTTTTTTTGTCTTTCAAAACTTGTCCACACCATGAGATATATCTAGAGACAAAATCAGAAGTCGGAAAATGAAGCCAAGAAGGACGAGCGCCCCCTGGTGGCTGGCTGCAGTAGAGTCGTGAAGCCCCGCCCCCTCCATGTAAACTAATGGGACATTTTTTTAACTAACAAAATTAATACACTTCAGATATTTACTTTTTTAGCTATTGATTTGTCTTTACACAATTCTTACTTCACTGTTATATGCAGTTTTTCACTACATTTAGTTTCAATTAGCTTTTTCAGTTTTTAAAAATGTGTCCAGTTTGATGAACATGGCAGGAGGGTGGGACTCTGGATTAAAAAAATCAACATGGCAGCTCCCCAACAACTGATAATCTGGCTACAGTTCTGAACAACAACGTACACTTCATCCAACTTTATGAGTGTCGATGGATCAAAGGCTGCACAAAGAGATGCAACGTTGCACTGATTTGCAAACCAAAAAAAATAAAGAGGTAAGTTAATTTATATCATTAAACACGAGAACAAAATAAAGATCCTTGAAGGAATGCAAACACAAAAATGGCTTCAGTTGAGTTACTTTTAAAGATATTGAGGTAAAATTACGTGTGGTAGTAACTGAGAGCCATCCCAAACATATACAGTGCTTTGGTTGTAAAACAAAAACTGCATTAAAACTTTAGTATAGAAAATGCTACTTTTAGTTTAGTATAGCAAATTAGGGTTAGTATTTTGATTAATGTTTGCAATTAACTTCAAACTACTAGTTATATTTTATTACATAAAGTTAAAGAAAAAGCTTTAATTTCTCAAATCTAGGCTTTTTTTTCAAACAAATTGAAACTCAAGGTAATAAATGTTTATCATGTATGAAATGTTTACGGAAATGTAAACGATTTAAACTGAAGAATCCTAATTTAGCTTCAGCCTTTTACACTAATCCTTGAATTGTGGGCGCGGCGGGCCTGATGTGTTAATCAGAATGGGATATAAATGAGAGTTTGGTTGGTGCTCTGCTTCCATTTCACAGTTACTTAAAAAAACATGAGCTCCGACTGCTCCGTGAGCGGCGTGATGAATGAGCCGGCGTCGCAGCCGACCAGCGTTCCCTCGCCGTCGCCCCCAAAGAATTCGGGCGGCGCTGTCAAGAGAAGATAAATGGTACCTGTGATGTCACTATCCTTTTTCTAAATCCAGCCACAGCGGGGACATGCGCACACGATTCATACTAGAAGTGGTGAAGGGGCAGCGAGGGCTTACAGACACTGATGGAGTTGAACAACAGCAGGCTGATTTGATGCCATCCTGACTCCCAGCGCTGCCTTGTGAGTCAGCGATTGCCTACTGAGCTATTTTCATCTGCTCCCTTCCTCCACTGAGCTATTTTTCTTCCATTTCGAGAGTGAGGGGAGCAGAGCCTCAGCCAATCTGCATCTCTGTTCTGAGCCGGTCCAGGAGGATGATCCAACATCACTCCCACCAGCACAAATGCACTCACACAGACATACGTCTGCGCACACAAAGCCAAAACACACAAAGGAACGCTGACTGAAACACAAGCGCAGACAAAAATGCACATTTGATGGAAACTACATCACAGCTCCCTGTTTAAAATGGAATATATTAAGCTCGTGTTACAGTTTTGACGTAACGCTACTGGGTCTGGTAACATTTTCTGCACAACACCAAGAATTATTAAATATCAAAGCAAAGGCAGTAATTTACTTCCTGCCCCCATAAGATTGAACAGGTTCAGTGCCAGCCAAGTGCTGCAGATCAAATGTATTGACTGGTTATCATCAGTGAGAGCACCTCTGTAAAAAGCAGGAGGTTTCGCTGCTCTGGAGCTTACAGGTATTTGTTACCACAAGATGTAAAGACATCAGCAACGACCTTAGAGAAACAACTGTTGCTGCCCCTTAAACTGTTTAGGATGCCTCCTGGATGCTTCCCTCCTGACGACTGGACGGAAGTGGCTAGGGAGAGGACTTCTTTGCTTAGACTGATGTCTCCATGACTCAAATAAGCAGAAGACAAAGACATCAACTATGTCTAATTTGGTCTTATCTGTCCAATAGACATAGATCCAGATGATTTGTGGTTCGTTACATTAAACTTTTCAAACCCAAGTCATGCTGCCATGTTCTTTTTAGAGAGAATATGATATATCCTTCACCCCTGCTACTTTCTCAACGTCATACTTGTTCAGTCTTTTTACTGATCAGTCTGTCATGACCTTTTAACCTATAACCTTCTAACTGAGGTCTGAAGAATATTAGATGGAGCTCAGTTCTCTGAGCGTTCCACAGTCTGACCTTTGGGTGAATTTGCTGGAAAGTCCACTCCTGTGCTGACTGGCAACTGTCCTAAAGGTTTTCCACTTGTGAATCATCTTTCTCACTGCAGAACAAAGGACTCCCAGTAGTTTGGAAGTGACCTTTGACCCTTTCCAGTTGTTCAAAGCATCTCAACTGGCTCATACAGGAGCAGTGGTTCTACTCTGTGCCCCTTCCAGATGTCCACACTCTTCAACCTATGCTTAAGGCTGAGCCCGGCCACCCACAGAGAAAACTTTTTGGCTGCCTGTATTTGTGATCTTGTTCTTTTGATCACTAATGAAAGCTCATGATGACCACAGATCGGGGTTGGAACATAGATCCACCGGTAAATCAAGAACTTTGCCTTCTGCTCCCTCTTCACCACACTCATGGACAAGACCCCATGATACTTAAACTTCTCCATTTGCGGCAAAACCTCTCCTCAGACCCCGATTGGGTGGGTAGTCCACCCCTTTCTGGCAGTGAACCATGTCCTCTGATTTGGAGATGCTGATTCTCTGGAAGGAGTTTGGTGTGACCAAAGTAAACATGTTTACCCATAATGCACTGCATCATTTTTGGAGGAAGCCAAATGCAGGAAATCAGCACAAAAACCATTTAGCAAAGTCAAGCATGATGATGGAGGGCTCATGGTTTGGGCACCTTGCAGTCATTATGTCAACCATGAATCCTTCTACTAAAAGGTTCTGGAGTCAAACTTGAGATCGTCTATCAAACATCTGAAGCTTGGACCAAACGTACTACAGCACAATGATCCCAAACACGTCAACTAATCTACAACAGAACGGTCAAAAGAAGAAAAGAATCAAGACAACTGTCCAGTCAAGATCCAGACCTGAAA